CGACATTCATGTATGGTATTCTGGGGATGGGTCTTGTTTCCTGTTTTTCAAAATTGCAATTGTTTTTTTCTTGCAATATAGAGCTTAAAGTTATCAGAACAGTTATTCCAGTTAATTTACATAAACTGATTCTGATGTTCAGATATTGTCCCTGCTTATCAAATAAGACTTGTAACAATAACATGGCAACTGACTGTTCCTTAGGCTAAGCAAGAAAATCTTCGATGGCTCCCTATTATATTCCTAGTTTTGTTTCAAACAAGGTGGTGATGTTTAGAAATTAGGATTTCTAGGACTGGGAGAAGTTCACAGGCTGATTACAAGCACGTGTACTAGAAAATATTGTTTGTACTGTCATATTTTGGCAAGCAACTCATTTCTTCAAATTAAATTACTGCAATATTCCAAGAGAAATACTGCTCTTCCCGATGACGTATACAGTTGAAAGATGACCAGTGAAAGGTGGAAAAGAATCTTTCTTCAAATTTAGTTTTTTCTAAGGAGGGGGAAATGGTCTCCCTGAGTTTGGTGCTCCAGTCAGTTAAATTCTGTGAGCTTCAGTGGAGTTCTCATTCAGTACTATTTAGCCAGTCTGTACATTTGTAATATGCTAGTTCATTATACTAATCTGACAAAATAGATACCCTTGTGTGACGGATGCACTCTACCCCTTAACCAAACTAGCAGTAGTTTGGTTCAGGCTCCAAAGGAGGTAAAAGCCTAAGCCGTAAACAGGCCAAGAACTCCTCTCCTTTCGATCTGTTCTCTGAAAACCCACAAAGGAGCGGAGTGACACAGTGAGCATTGATGCACATGAGCTTGGAACACCGATCATGCAATTAACACATGAATAGTGGGTGGCTTTTCCAAGACTCATTTATTAAGGAACAAAGGAAGTTGTGGGTATGTTGTATGCTATATAAGCATATGTTGTATGCTATATAAGGTGTCCCTGAGTCTATCACAGACTTATGTTATCTAAGCACGGATGTTCTACTTGCGAGCACATAAGGCTGACAACAATTAGTGTGATATATGTGTTGTCCAGCACCCCAGGTGTGAGTCACTTGAGTGTGCTTGCAATCCTCCTTGTCAATCTTCCGTTACTTTCCTGCAGCATGTAATTTGACTACGAGCCAAACACTTTATTCCAGAAATATGACAGTCTAAGTGAGCCTTCTTTGAGCTCTCCCGGCTAAGCAGCCTGGCTGTGTGGCGGGGATCTCCCCTTGAGCTGGAACACCTCTCAAGGTTGCTCCTCGAGGCAGAGGGCTTTTACCAATGGCAGATCTTTGGTCAGCGACCGATATCGTGCGTAACCTTGTAATATGGTAACTTTGATTTGTGCCTTGCTAACTTTGATTTTGTCTTGGTAACTTTGATTTGTGCCTTGGTAGTTTTGAATCACTGTTCAAATGATTGTGCCATATAGTACTAGAGTGAACCTTGCCATTGAACTTTGTTAAGTCGCACTTTTACAACATCATATTAAAACTACTTTTGCTAATACCTTTGACAGTGGTTCTTTCAGCGATCTAAATCCCCCATTTGCAACAAATTGGCATAGTTGGCAGGATCCTAAATCAGGATTCACAACACCTTGTTTTTTTGACACGCATCCTTATGGTCCTGCTTGTATGCAGCTTGATTAAAAAGTAGTAATAATTAAGGGTCTGAACAATAAAGAAAAATTGCTTAAAGGATTTCCTTTATTTTACCTGCTTTTACTGAAAAAGGAATAGTGAATATAAGGGATTAGGGAAGATGTATGGATTAATGGTACAACAGCAGAAGAATGGGTATCTTACTCTTGGCCTTGGGGATACTTGCTTCGGCTATTGTAAATGGAGAAGTACTAACTAAAATTTGGGATTGCTTTAGTTGCACATGATCAGAAGCAATGGCGGGAACTCATTTGCTTAGACACGCAAGCGTGACTTCTATCTCTTTTTTTTTCCCCCACCTTGAATTTTTGGCACCAATCATTTAAAAAAAACAAGCAACAAACCAAAACTTTGAGATGCAAAGAATTTAGTTTGCATATACTTTTTAATAAAGTGTAAATAGTTGTTTGTATTTAAAGGAGCGCTGCCTCTCCTCTGCCCCCTACTTCCCAACTTCTCTGTTTTTTGATTTACAAAATGCAGGCAATGTTTCCTTCTTGCAGAGGGATGTGTGGACTCTTTTTAACCTTAGAGGTATAGGGAGTGTTGAGTCCAATCTGTGATGTCTTATGTACATGGAAGGCTCTTTCAAGAGGTATCCAGAGAAATCAATTGAGAGTTCTGTTGTCCAGTAACAGAAGCTCTTCTACATTTGTCAGGTGTGTGATTAATGTACAAAACCAAAAGAGCGGCGGCACTGTAATCGAGTTCGTATATTCCTTTACCTGTGTTATTGCTTTCTCTTGCTTTTGCTGTTCTGTTAAACTGCTTTTATCTCGACCCACGAGTTCCTGCCTTTTTCTTCCAATCTTGCCCACGGCTGTGGGAGTTGCGCGAGCAGCTGAGTGGTTCTTTGTTCCCGACTGGGGCCAAACCACGACAGCTGGTTCAATATATGTCCATTGTAAGGACATCCATGTCCTTACAGGTTAAGAGCAGGTTAAGACCTGGCTGTGTGGCTGGGGTCACAGGCAGGGCTTTGTCTTTTATGACCACAGAACCCTCTTTGAGGAATGAGCAGTGCTGGGAAGAGATGGGATCTACCTGACAAAGTGGGGCAAGAGCATCTTTACCAACAGGCTTCCTAACCTAGTGAGGAGGCCTTTAAACTAGCTTTTGCCCTGTGCCTGATGAGCACTGTCTGTCCTATCTTCTTATTAAATTCCATTTCTAACTCTTTTTCCTGGGTGCATGCACATGTGTGTGCGGGGGACTGAGTGCCAGCAACTGGACTGGGACTGTGGGACCTAGGGCCCGTGTGCCTGGGTGCCAGCGACTTGAGGGACCGGAGTGAGTGAAACCAAGTGCCAACCACTGGAGTGGGACCAGGGGTCACAGGCCCGTGTGTCTGTGGTGCCAGCAACTGGAACAAGTGTGGGTGTGCACATGAGTGTGTGAGCACTAGCAAAGATCAAGGTGAAGTGGCTTGAGCACCAGGTGTGTCTCTAAGGGCCACCTCTCTGAAGGGGGTTGGCTACTGGGGACCAGGAGAATCCCAGCCAGCTGCCAGAGAGACCATAGGGCCTGGGAGTCTCTAGGGGCAAGACGTGTGTGTGTGTGTCTAAGGGTGAGACCACAGGAGGGTTGGCTACTGGGGACCAGGGGAGTCCTGGCTAACTCTCTGTGTGTGTGTCTATACCAGCAACTGGAGTGGGGCTTTGGCCTCGGGGGCTCTTATGTTCAGATGCCCACAACTGGGGGGACTGGGATCCGGGGGCCAGCTACTGGGCAGACTGAGCATCTGAGCTCAGCTGCTGGAGGGATCCCCATTGTACGTAATATATATATATTTTCTGACTAGTGGACCTCTATCCTGCTCAGCCAGAGAGGGGAGTGGGATGAGGCCGTTGGTGCTGTCTGTGTTCGCATGAGTGCTCTTGTGTGTCTGTGATCTGTGTGGCTGGCCATGTATAATATATATAAAAATATATATATATATGTTGTGTATACATGTGCTCTGTGTGCATGCGCCTACATTTTCAGCCTTGCTACTGGTTGGACCTGGGGGCATGGAGCTGCAGCAGCCTCGCCTCTCCTTGGGCTGTTGGATCCTGTCTGATCATGGAACAGATCCTCCTAGAAGCTATGCTAAGGCACATGGAGGGCAGGGAGGTAATTTGAGACAGCCAGCATGGCTTCACCAAGGGCAAGTCTTGCCTGACCAACCTAGTGGCCTTCTATGATGGAGTGACTACATCAGTGGACAAGTGGATGTGTGGGTTGGGGTCAGTTCATCACACATTGTCTCTGCTGCTCCTTCCTCTTCACGCTCTTCAAAAAAAAAAGCGTGGGGTCCCACCCATGGGCTGCAGTTCTTAGCAAACTGCTCTAGCATGGGTCCTTTCCACGGAGTGCAGTCCTTTTGGAACAGACTGCTCCAGTGTGGGTCCCCTGTGGGGTCACAGGTCCTGCCAGAAAAGCTGCTCCAGCATGGACTCCTCTCCGTGGGGTCGCAGGTCCTGCCAAGAGCCTGCTCCAGCACAAACTCTCCACAGGGTCACAGCCTCCTTCAGGCACATCCACCTGCTCCAGTGTGGGGTCTTCCATAGGCTGCAGGTGGGTATCTGCTCCACCATGGACCTCCATGGGCTGCAGGGGGACAACCTGCCTCACCATGGTCTTCACCATAGGCTGCAGGGGAATCTCTGCTCCAGCGCCTGGAGCACCTCCTCCCCCTCCTTCTTCACTGACCTTGGTGCTTGCAGAGTTTCTCTCACATATTCTCACTCCTCTCTCCCAGCTGCTGTTATGCAGCAGTTTCTACCCCTTCTTAAATATGTTATCACAGAGGCGCTACCACCGTCACTGATGGGCTCAGCTTTGGCCAGCAGCAGGTCCATCTTGGAGCTGGCTGGCATTGGCTCTGTCAGACCTGAAGGAAGCTTCTGGTGTCTTCTCACAGAAGTCACCCCTGTAGCCCCCCCCCAACCTTACCACGTAAACCCCATACAACCATAAAGTAATTCTAGAATACAGGTCTATTTCTTAAATTCAGTAGATTACAAAGCGTCTCGGGAACACAGTGTATGTGCTCTGACCTGCAAACACTGGGAATTCACCAATTAAGTCTAAAATGTTCCATTATGCTCCAAAAATTTTTTTAGAAGCCAGTTTTCATACACAGCAAAAGGAAGATGCTCTGCAGAAAAGCAAGACCTTTTATGATTGCTTAATAGTTATGGAAAAATTTTTTTCCCACTTTTCTGACAAAAAGCCACACCAGAAAGTTTATTTTATATTTTTTATTGTATGCCAAAGTTCATTAAAGATGGGTTTTTGCTTGTATACAAGTTACTTAAAAATTGTGTTTAGGCAGAGATTCATTAGCAATCTGACTTATTTCAAAGCATAGGCTTGTTCAACCAGGCCACAAAAATAATATTGTGTACAAGCAATAACTGAAAAAGAGCTGCAGGTTCAAGGAGTTTCCAAATATTATAAATCTTGAGATTTCATCAGGAAATAAAAATAAAATCAAATAAAAGCAATCACAATATAAAATAGCAGCTCCATGTAGCTTTTTCAAGTTTATTCGGAAAGTGTCACTAAGTTCAGTTTGCCTCATTCTTTGAAGCTTCATCAAAGTTTTCAACAAGATCTAGAAAAAGAAAAATGTTGAAATTAAAGTTTGACCTGCTTCTGCTCTGCCAATTCCCCCCCCCCCCAAGTTTTACTTCATATCAAGTGCTTACAAGTAAAAAAAAATAAATCAGCTCATAAAATACAGACCAAACAACATTCAAGAGCTTCATGGTTCATTCTTGTTTAAACAAGTTTTAGATGGTTCGTTATAAAGCTCAATTCTAAGAGCATTTAACTTCACCATATCCACAACCAGGCAAAGTGATACTGAAAAGGTAGTTTCTTACCACTCTTCTTATTGAATATTAAATAATTATCCTAGCCATAGCTATTATTCCTACACAGGACAAAAATGCTAGCTCAAACCAATGGTCCATCTAAGTCTCACATGGTGTCTGAAAACAACGCCCAGAGAAATTCTATAACAGTGAGTGACTAGTCAATACTCTTACTGTCCTTGGCCCAATCTTATGCTGCACATGTAATCTCTCAGCAAAATTCACTTCCTTTTCCTCCATTGCATGATTGTTCTTACCTGGAACTTCATCATCATCATCATCACCAGTAGCAAGTGGTGCTTTTCCATCCACAGCTGTAAGAGCAAGCAGTTCAAAAGCATCAGTCAAGCTCATAACCATAAGCATCTTGATTACAAAGCTGTTTAGCTCAAACTATTTGATAATGTTTTCAAAAAACACAAAGCAAAACTGCAATACTCTATCGAGTTCCCCTGCTGAATAAAAACCTACAACTAACCCTTTGTTACTCACAATGCTCAAACAGCCCAGCTGGAAAATGAGAATATGCATGCTAAACAAGTTTCATAGAATGGTTAGAGTTGGAAGGGACCTTAAAGATCGTCTAGTTCCATAACCCCCCTGCCATAGGCAGGGACACTTTCCACTAGACCAAGTTGCTCAAAGCCCCATCCAGCCTGGCCTTGAACGCTTCCAGAGATGGGACATCCACACCTGTTCCAATGTCTCACCACCCTCACAGTCAAGAATTTCTTCCCAATATCTAATCTAAATCTCCCCTCTTCCAGTTTAAAACTGTTACCCCTCGTCCTATCATTACACTTCCTGATCAAGAGTCCCTCCCCAGCTCTCCTGTAGGCCTCCTTTAAGTATTGGAAGGCTGCAATAAGGTCTCCCCAGAGCCTTCTCTTCTCCAGGCTGAACAACCCCAACTCTCTCAGCCTGTCTTCAAAGGAGAGGTGCTCCAGCCCTCTGATCACGTCCATGGCCTCCTCTGGACTTGCTCCAACAGGTCCATGTCCTTCCTATGCTGGGGGCCCCAGAGCTGGACGCAGTACTCCAGGTGGAGTCTCACCAGAGCAGAGTAGAGGGGCAGAATCACCTTCCTCGACCTGCTTGCCATGCTTCTTTTGATGCATCCCAGGATGTGGTTGGCCTTCTGGGCTGCAAGCGCACGTTGCTGGCTCACACTGAGTTTCTCATCAAGCAACACCCCCAAGTCCTTCTCCTTAGGGCTCCTCTCTATCCATTCTCCACCCAGCCTGTATTTGTGCTTGGGATTGCCCCGCCCCACATGCAGGACCTTGCACTTGGCCTTGTTGAACTTCATGAGGTTTGCACAAGCCTACCACTCAAGCCTGTCCAGGTCCCTCTGGATGGCATCCCTTCCCTCCAGCGTGTTGAGTGCACCACACAGCTTGGTGTCATCTGCAAACTTGCTGAGGGTGCACTCCATCCCACTGTCCATGTCGCCAACAATGATGTTAAATAGTACCAGTCCCAGTACCGACCCTTGAGGAACACCACTTGTCACTGGTCGCCACTTGGACATCGAGCCATTGACTGCAACTCTTTGAGTGCAACCATCCAGCCAGTTCCTTATCCACCAAGTGGTCCATTGGTCAAATCCATGTCTCTCCAATATAGAGACCCGGATGTTGTGCAGGTCAGTGTCAAATGCTTTGCACACGTCCAGGTAGGTGATGTCCGTTGCTAGTTTACTAGTCACCATCTTGGTTCTAGATATATAGTGCCTTGTGTGGTAATCATTTTCAGCTAACAGCGCAGAGACTGATTTTACCAATTTCTCTTAAAAGCAGCTTGGTTTATTGACTACTCAGTGGTTCTTGAGGCTTATATATTTTATAACATTAGCAAGTTATAAGGAAATCTTAGGATCTGATTATCCTAGGCCTTCAAGGAAAACTAAGGTGTAATTGTGAAACTGCAGGTAGAGATACACATGACTAGAGGCACTTAAGGATATTCTTGTTCCCTGGCAAAGTCAGAGGAATATGGAACTGGATGCACAATTTTATACTTAGGTGGTTGAGGTAACCACATGTCCTGGTCCACATCTCTGCTTACTCAGTAATTTCTTAACTATTCCCATTATATTTGCCAGAGCTACTGAAACTTAACCATGTCCATTGTAGCAGACCAATGAGCATCTGTGAAACTGCAGCAGTATAATGCTAAGAATAGATATCTCAGGTCCCTGGGTGCCTGTGCCACTACTTTTACTGCTATCCTTAGCTGTACTACCTAGAGAGTATGAGACAGCTTAGCCTGTCACCTCCATTTTATCCTAATTAATCCTTCTCAGTTTTCACACAAACCATGAGGAAAGAGATGGGTTTATACTAGACTTCTGAAATTGCTGTACCCTGATTTCTAGATAACCAAAATAGATGAATGCATAAACTTTGTTCTGAAAAGGCTTGAGACAAGGTCACCGCTAACCCTCCTTTTGTTTTTTTAACAGCAGAAAACTGTTACAGCTTGAGTGCATCTTAGTGACAAATACAACATTTTAAAAGCAAACCACGTTATTTCCTCCTAAATTGTCTGCATTCTCTCTTATCCCCAAGACCAGACTAAGTTTACTTTAACACTTGCAAATGCAATCATGACAGACACTTCACTTTGATGTCAGACTTCCAAATCTAGCAGACAATGCTGAATGGAAAGGTTTGTGCAACTACTTTGACATCCACCCAAAGTGGAAAGAAATAGGCATTTACCAGGTCATACAGAGCAAGTACTTTAAACAAACTTCCCTAATATCAAAACCGCGCAATTTAGCTTATCCAGAATATATTCACCTTGTTATAAGAAGAGAGATCTTAAGGGAACATTTTAAATCCTTAAAGTTTTCTTTCTTTCAAGCCCCACTACTACCACAAGGAAGCCACACAGGTGACACTAGGAAGGAGGGACCTGAGCTTCACAGGGAAAGAAGCAGTTTACCTCACCTCCTGAAGACTACTTCTAGCAGGATTTTTTTCAGTGGGAAGTTGACAGAAGGGAAGTATCATCAGCTTTAGGAATAGAAACAGATGCTATCTTTGCTAGCAGCAAAGCACAGAAAGAACAAACAATTTCATAACTACCAGAAGAAATAGGAAATAAGTAGGAAGACCTTACATGCAGGACATGAAAAATGTTCCCAGTGTCAACAAGCCTATCTTTCTCTCCCAATTCTCACCCTATAGCAGCAGCACCTTTTCCAAACACCACATACTTAAGTCACAGAATCACAGAATGGTCAGGGTTGGAAGGGACCTCTGGAGATCATCTAGTCCAACCCCCCTGCCAGAGCAGGGTCACCTACAGCAGGTTGCAGTCCCTACAGCAGGTTGCAGGTCACCTACAGCAGGTTGCTGTAGGTCCCTCCTCTACTTTTCCCAGACAGTTTTAGAGAGAACAAATCACAGAATTCACAGAATTCACAGAATGGTTAGGGTTGGAAGGGACCTTTGGAGATCATCTAGTCCAACCCCCCTGCCAGAGCAGGGTCACCTACAGCACGTTGCACAGGACAGCGTCCAGGCGGGTTTTGAATGTCTCCAGAGTGGGAGACTCCACCACCTCTCTGGGCAGCCTGTGCCAGTGCTCCACTACCCTCAAAGTAAAGAAGTTCCTTCTCATGTTAAGATGGAACTTCCTATGTTCAAGTTTATGCCCATTACCCCTCGTCCTATCACTGGGCGCCACTGAAAAAAGACTACTCCCATCCCCCTGGCATCCTCCCATTAAGTATTTGTAAGTATTAATAAGATCCCCCCTCAATCTTCTTTTCTCTAGACTAAAGAGACCCAAGTCCCTAAGCCTTTCTCCATAGGAGAGATGTTCCAATCCCCTAATCATCTTTGTTGCCCTTTGCTGGACCCTCTCCAGCAAAGGACAGTTCCCTGTCCTTCTTGAACTGGGGAGCCCAGAACTGGACACAGTACTCCAGATGCGGTCTCACCAGGGCAGAGTAGAGGGGGAGGATGACCTCCCTCGACCTGCTGGCCACACTCTTCTTGATGCACCCCAGGATGCCATTCGCCTTCTTGGCCGCCAGGGCACATTGCTGGCTCATGGTCATCCTGTTGTCCACCAGGACTCCCAGGTCCCTCTCCACAGAGCTGCTCTCCAGGAGGTCAGCCCCCAACCTGTACTGGTGCATGGGGTTATTCCTCCCCAGGTGCAGTACCCTACACTTACCCTTGTTGAATGTTCAGGTTCTTTTATTAATTTAAGGATGGAATAGGAAGTTGGTGTCTCTACCTTCATGATCATGTCAGTTCTGTTCTCTACACTGTTCTACACACACAGAGATTATAACATATTGTCCTGGTTTCAGCTGGGACAGAGTTAATTTTCTTCCTAATAGCTGCTGTGTTTTGGATTTGTATGAGAACAATGTTGAGAAAACATATTGTTTTCGTTGTTGTTAGGTAATGCTTATATTAAGTCAAGGACTTTTTCAGCTTCCCATAGAAGCTGAGAGGGAGCACAGACAGGACAAGTGGGCCAAAGGAATATTCATAGAATGGTTTAGGTTGGAAGGGACCTTAAAGATCATCTAGTTCCAACCCCCCTGCCATGGACAAGGAAACCTCCCACTAGACCAGGTTGCTCAAAGCCCCATCCAACCTGGCCTTGAACACCTCCAGGGATGGGGCCTCCACAACTTCCCAGGACAATCTGTTCCAGTGTCTCACCACCCTCATAGTGAAAAATTTCTTCTTGATATCTATTCTAAATCTACCTTCTTCCAGTTTGAACCCATTCCCCCTTGTCCTATCACTATATGCCCTTGTAAAAAGTCCTTCCCCAGCTTTCTTGTAGGCCCCCTTCAGATACTGGAAAGCCACTATAAGGTCTCCCCGGAGCCTTCTCCAGGCTGAAGAACCCCAACTCTCTCAGCCTGTCTTTATAGGAGAGGTGCTACAGCCCTCTGATCATCCTCGTGGCCCGTGCAGGACAGTCTCAAATGCTTTGCACAAGTCCAGGTAGATGATGTCTATTGCTCTCCCCTTATCCACCAATGCTGTAACCCTGTCATAGAAGGTCACCAAATTTGTCAGGCACGATTTGTCCATGGTGAAGCCATGTTTGCTGTCAGAAATCACCTCCTTATTTTCCATGTGCCTTAGGAGAGTTTCCAGGAGGATCTGCTCCATGATCTTGCTGGGGACAGAGGCAAGACAGACCAGCCTGTAGTTCACCGGGTCTTCTTTTTTACCTTTTTTGAAAATGGGGATTACATTTCCCCCTTTCTAGTCAGTGGGAACTTCACCAGACTGCCATGACTTCTCAAATATAATGGAAAGTGGCTTAGCAACTTCATCTGCCTGTTCCCTCAAGACCCGTGGATGGATTTCATCAGGTCCCATATTATATATCATATAATATATCATATATATGATATATAATATTTCATCAGGTCCCATATATTCCATACCATGGACGTCATGCTCAATATATAAATGGGGGTTGGCCAGGGGGCAGGAATCTGCGATCACTGCTTGGGATGGGCTGGGCAACCGATCATCGGGTGGTGAGAGCAATTGCATTGCATCACTTTATTTTGTATAATCTTTTTTCATTATTATTATTTTCCTCTTCCGTTACTGTGCTATGAAACTGTCTTTATCTCAACCCATGAGGTTTTTTACCCCTCCTTTTCCTCCCTCTCCTCCCTACCCTACTGGGGGGGTGGGGGGGAGTGAGTGAACGGCTGCATGGTCCTGGTTGCCACCTGGGGTTAAACCACAACACATATTTCCTTAAAAATACTGTATAATTCCCTCTTAGCTATTAAAAAGCCCATGCAAGAAGAAATACCTTCACCACACCTGCAAGAGAGCAAAGCACTAGCAAGATGCCTGTCCTCAAGTCCCTCTCCCCATTGTTTGTTTCCATTGAAAGTGTCAAAACAGACATACTCAAAGTATATCTTTTTTTAAAGCCTAACTCTCCCTGAGTAACTCTACCTAGCTTTAATGAACTATGTATGTCAAAATATGGTAGCCACACCAAGAAGTAAATTATCATGAAATCAAGTCTGGCTACAACTTTTTAGTCCTAGAACAGCTGCAAGATATGCTGAGACAGGTGCCTCTGCTTTATTCTGTTGTATTCATTGTTGGATTTGAGCTATAAATTAGATCTAAGATTTCCATTTCTTTATAAGCATTTTATAATATGCTTGCAGACAGTAAGAGCGCACTGAATTTCACTGCAGTTATACAAATAAGACACGTCAGCTGCCAGCATGAAATGCATTCAAGTTTCAACTTACGTTGTTTGGGTAGGGCTTCTGCCAATCTCCTCAGGCTGGTCAAACTGTCAGCTCCGAGCTGATTTAAGATGCTAGGAAGCATTTCTGTCAGCTGCTTTGTCTCAGCATGGCCGGTGATAGTGAAAGTGTTAGCAGCCAGAGATGCCTGAACTTTAGGGTTATTGAAGTGAATGACTGTTCCTTGGTTGGTAAACATATTTACCTGCAAGAAAAAAAATCCAGTATTTCAAGCAGTTTAGCATGATTTTTCAATTTAACAGGAAACTAGCTGAAGTTCTCAAAGCTCAATAAAGACCTATTGATAATTTACAGACAAGTTTAAGATGTTACTTACCAGGAAATTAAGTTGGATACATTTTATATTTCTATATACAAAAGCATTTTTCCCTTTGAAGCAATTACCTCTTCAATTCCAGAAATATTGTTGACACCCAATTTCTTCAAAGAAAACTGAAGTTTCTTGTCATCTGCTGTAGCTGTTCTGTGGACAACCTTCTTCTTTCTGCGGGCAGTACCCTTTGCAAAAAAAGTTATAAGTTAATATTTAAATAGTTCTTCACAAATTCTAATCCTCGTGGCCATATAACTACTCCGCAGCCATCTACAAATCAACTTTGTATACAAAGTTCTATTTCTGTGTTACAGCACACACAACCCCACCCCTGCAAGCTTTGTACGTTTGTGAGAAGTGTGATATTTTAGGAAGCAATGCACCAGAGAACCTTTAATCCACAATTCTCATGGGGATTCTGCAATATCCTACTCAGAAAAGAAAAATTGCAAGTTTATCCTTGTCTGTTACCATAGGCATTAAACTGAAGACTGAGCACAATTTTCAGTAATTTCTGAAGCTCATTAATTTTTGCTTAGATCATCTTTCTCACGTGGGCCCACTTCTCGAGCCTGTCCAGGTTCCTCTGGATGGCATCCCATTCCTCAGGCGTGTCAACCGCACTACTCAGCTTGGTGTCACATGCAAACTTGCTGAGAGTGCACTAGATCCCACTGTCCATGTCATTGATGAAGATATTGGAATTGAACTTGGCGAGGGATGTCAAGGCCAACAGGAAGGGTTTCTTTAAGTATATAGGAGACAAAAGGAAAACTAGGGAAAATGTGGGCCCGTTGTTGAACGAGACAGGTGCCGTGGTGACAGATGATGCAGAGAAGGCGGAGTTGCCGAATGCCTTCTTTACTTCTGTCTTCACTGTTCGGGCCAGCCCTCACGAGTCCCAGACTTTGCAGGTAACAGAGAAAGTCTGGAGGAAGGAAGACTTTCCCTTGGTTGATGAGGAGCAAGTTAGAGATCAGTTAGACAAACAAGTCCATGGGCCCTGATGGGATGCACCCTCAAGTGCTGAGGGAGCTGGGGGAAGTCATTGCTGGGCCGCTCTCCATCATCTTTGAAAGGTCCTGGAGAACAGGAGAAGTGCCCGAGGACTGGAGGAAAGCCAATGTCACTCCAGTCTTCAAAAAGGGCAAGAAGGAAGACCCGGGAAACTACAGGCTGGTCAGCCTCACCTCCATCCCTGGAGGTGTGATGAAGGAACAGCTCGTACTGGGCGTCATCTCAAAGCGTCTGGAGGAAAAGAAGGTTATCAGAAGTAGTCATCATGGATTCACCAAGGGGAAGTCACGTCTGACTAATCTGATAGCCTTCTATGATGGCGTGACTGGATGGGTGGATGAGGGGAGGGCAGTGGATGTTGTCTACCTTGACTTCAGCAAGGCTTTCAACACCATCTCCCACATCATCCTCACAGGCAAGCTTAGGAAGTGTGGGTTAGATGAATGGACAGTGGGGTGGATTGAACAGTGGCTAACGGATAGAGCTCAGAGAGCTGTGGTTAGTGGCGCAGAGTCTAGTTGGAGGTCAGTAACGAGTGGTGTTCCCCAGGGGTCAGTACTGGGTCCAGTCCTGTTCAACATATTCATCAATGACCTGGATAAAAGGATAGAGTAAACCATCAGCAAGTTTGCTGATGACACAAAACTGGGAGGGGTTACCGACACGCCGGAAGGCTGTGCTGCCATTCAGCATGACCTGGACAGGCTGAAGAAATGGGCAGAGAAGAAACTAATGAAATTTAACAAGGGCAAGTGTAGGGTCCTGCATCTGGGGAGGAATAACCCCATGCATCAGTACAGGTTGGGGGCTGACCTCCTGGAGAGCAGCTCTGTGGAAAGGGACCTGGGAGTGCTGGTGGACAACAGGATGACCATGAGCCAGCAATGTGCCCTGGCGGCCAAGAAGGCCAATGGCATCCTGGGGTGCATCAAGAAGAGTGTGGCCAGCAGGTATTAATGCTTACAAATACTTAAAGGGAGGGTGCCAAGTAGATGGGAGCAGTCTTTTTTCAGTGGTGCCCGGTGATAGAACAAGAGGTAATGGGCACAAACTTGAGTGTAGGAACTTCCATCTTAACACGAGAAGGGACTTTGAGGGTGGCAGAGCACTGGAACAGGCTGCCCAGAGAGGTGGTGGAGTCTCCCACTCTGGAGACATTCCAAACCCGCCTGGACGTTGTCCTGTGCAACCTGCTGTAGGTGACCCCGCTCTGGTTGGGGGGTTTGTCTAGATGATCTCCAGAGGACCCTTCCAACCCCTACCATTATGTGACTCTGAGATATTAAACAGTACTGGTCCCAATACGGACCCCTGAGGGACACCACTTGTCACTGATCTCCATCTGGAGATCAGATCTCTATGATCTAACTTTTTAAGAAGTATTATATAGAATGAGATAACTGGCTATCATATTTTAACTGCTAGTTACCTGCAACCATGAAGATCATTTCCCCTTGCCTCTTGTAGGATATATAATGGAAGACTGGCGAGGAGGATTGTAAACATGCTCAAGTGACTCACACCTGGGGTGCTGGACAACACACATATCACACTAGTTTTTGTTCAGCCCCGTGTGCTTGCAAGTAGAATATCCGCACTTAGATAACGTAAGCCTGGGATGGACTCAGGGACACCTTATCTAGCATACATGAGATCACTGCCTTGTTGTTGAAGATCAAAGCACAGTGGAAAACTATGCCTGCTTGAACCCATGAAAAGCAGGCGAGAAGAGCAAGTTAGAGCTCACACGCTCCTGCTAACAAGGACTTTCTCCCGCCGTGCGGTGCCTGCATCCCCTGCTTGTATCCCTCTGCCCAGGCGTTGCTGCGGAGACTCCCCAATTTGCAAGGTATTGAGATTAAACTTGTTCTTTGCCTTTCATCCATGGTCTTGTGGTCATTCCTGCGTTCTGCCCGAGTCATCTCACACACCTCTCCTTTCTGTTTAGGCTGCAAACCCATGTGTCATGGAGTGTATCTTACTTTGACCTCTTGCCTGCACCATAAATCAATGGTAGTTTTGCTGCTGAGCTGCTGTGCTTAAAATCAAGCCCTATGTGTGTTAAAAAATATAAAATCACATAGCAGCTCGGTGCTGTAATCCTGATGGGACTCTGAGGAGGTTGTCATCAGAAGCATTGTAGCCTGGTAGCAATTGCACCCCGGCACCCAGGATTTGTATTTCTGCTCAGCACTGACTAGAGCAAGACTCCAGTTTCACAGAATTCACAGAATGGTTAGGGTTGGAAGGGACCTTTGGAGATCATCTAGTCCAACCCCCCTGCCAGAGCAGGGTCACCTACAGCACGTTGCACAGGACAGCGTCCAGGCGGGTTTTGAATGTTTGCTTCAACTGATGTAGATTAGACCTCTTTAATCTTTCCTGACGATATTTTTACATGCTATTTTTCAGGAGAGGTTGTGATACAGGGAAAATACATGATCAGCCTTTCTACAAGGGCTTGATCACGCAAAGTCCTCACTCAACAAGACCCTGGGGTACCCAGTGCAGTGAGGTATGGCTGCACTAAACCAGGGATAAAAGGAGCATCTCAGGGAAGAGCTGTTTGCTGCCACATCCCCAAATCTCTCTGAGCAGAGGGGGAGGTTGCAGCAGCACAAGCCCAGGCTGTCAAAGAGCAGAAATCACCCCTCTCCCAGCACAGCGCTTGCTCTCTAAAGCACAGCACTTGCTTTCTAAATTTGTTATTGCCTCTAAAGGCAATAACAAATATGATGCCCAAGTCCAGAAAGATGCTGGAGTGATGAGGATTTACAGGCAGAATTGGACCCCTGGGAGAGGACTGGCAGCAGCACCTTAAATACTTACTGCAGAAACCAGGTTTCCTGGCTGAGCCATTTACCTCTTTCTGAAGATGAAAGACACAAAACAAATTTTGTCAAGTGTCCTGGTTTGAGGTAAGACAGAACCAATTTTCTTTTCAGTAATTTTACTTTTCAGTTAAGCTTCTTCTAACTCTCTGAAATTAACAGCATATTTTTCAGACAATATCTGCTTCTAGCAGATAAGGTCTGATGTTTATAGTTGATGCCAAGGAATGGTATGCAGAGAGACTCCTGATTATACTTATTGCTATAACAACCATGCCCCGTTGGAGGGTCGGAAGCAGAAGAGCATAGAGAGGTCACACCTGTTTTAGCCAAATATTGATAATAAAGAGTCAGAGACCATAAAGTTATCAATATATCATTAACAAATTAATATGAGAAAACCCAAAACACTCATTTTTTTATTCCAAATAGACATCTCCATATGATGGACTTACACATACAAATTTGAAGAACACTTATTTTCCCAAAATATTTAATAAATATATTTAAATATATATATACTTCTACATAGTATTCCAGACCACCCCTGTTTAGAAAGTAAAACAAACAAAGGTTAACTTCCCCTACAGACACAGAGCTCTAGATTTCTCTGGGGAAAAGGTTTGGAAGAAATGACATGACATTTAGCTATATCAACATCCTACATAAAAATATCAAATTTCACATAATGAAGTACAGCCCTCCACCTAAATGTAATACTGTTGTGATTTAACCCAGCAGACAGATAAACACCACAGCCATTCGCTCACTCCCCCCCATTGGGAGTAAAATTTGTGAGTTGAGGTAAAGAGAGTTTAATAGGACAGAAAAGGAAGGGAAAATAATAATAATGATAAAAGAACATACAAAACAAGTGAAGCACAATGCAATTGCTCACCACCCACCGACTGATGCCCATCCAGTTCCTGAGCAGCGGCCCCTGGCTAGCTTTCCCCCTAGTTTATATACTGAGCATGACATCACATGGTTTGGAATATCCCTTTGGTCAGTTGGGGTCAGCTACCTTGGCTGTGTCCACTCCTAGCTTCTTGTGCACCCCCAGCCTCCTTGCTGGCAGGACAGCATGAGAAGCTGAAAAGTCCTTGATTTAGTGAAAGCACTGATCAGCAACAACTAAAACATCAGTGCATTATCAACATTATTCTCAACCTAAATCCAAAACACAGCACTATACCAGCAACTAGGAAGAAAATTAACTCTATCCCAGGCGAAACCAGGACAAATATTTAGTTTGGTTTTAAGATTTTAAGTCATGAAAATCTTCCAGCAGAGGCAATGTGCAACCTTTTCTCACAAGGAAGAAAAAAAAAAACAACAAAACCACTACAGTGACAAATGTTAAAAACCTCTGTAGTCAATACACACATGCTGGTAACATGCACATAATCATCAGTATAATACAGCAGTTCTCTGCTTAACTAGTAACCCATACAAAGAATACACAAAATCACCAAGCCAGTTAATTACTGGATTAACCCTGATTTAAGGCTGCCTAAATCTCCAGCTAAAGGCAAAAACTTCAACACAGGAATGAAAGCTACTGGAAACTCTGTCAGCAAGAGCTCTGTTGAATAGCTTGTATTCTAAAATACTGTGTGTACATTTCCTCAGGTAAAAAAAAAATTACTAACAAATTCTCGCCTTAAAACTGAAACTGTAATTAAAATGTTTACTAGCATACAACTATATTCAACATACTTTTTTATTTCCAGATTATAAGTAATCACACAGCTACATATATTCAGATGTCATAAAATAAAAAGGTCTATTCTCCAGTGATGAGAGTACGACAAGTACAGAAACTCCAGCTTTGTCCTAAAAAGCAAGAAAACAGCCATGGGCATCTTAAAGATTTGTGATGAGAACTTGGAACATAGCCCTCTAATCTCTTAAGAAAGCTATACCCAAGATCACTTGCTGTAAGGTCTTCTTACTTGAAATCTTAAGAGCCTTCTAATATAGCCTATACAAGAATATAGGCTACAAGTCAGCTATAATATATCAAAACCAAACAGAAAAGACTGGAGGTTCAGCTCCTACATTCTGCTTCTACTGAACTGACTAGAGATCCCTGCAGCAATGCAGCTTCTCACGAGGACGGTCTAGCCAAGCTGAGAATCCTTAGGGCTGCTCCCCACCTGAGTTTTCAGGATCCCGCATCCTAGGCCCAGTGTATGGGCAGAGACACACAATCCCAAGGGCAGGGAGGGGAGACGACTCCTACCTTGCCACCGATGCGCACTTGGGCCTGGAGCTTAGCGAGCTTTTCTTGGTTCATGATAGTTTCTTTCATCTGCGGAAGCAACAAGAGTGGCCATAGAAAGCGGGTCAGGAAGCACCTGGAAGCGCAGGCCACAACAACCCGGGCCCGGCAGTAGAGTAGGTGGGCACAAGGGGCTCCGCAGCTACCCCTCACCACACACACCCCCGGCGGGAGGACGCCCCAGCCCTGCCGGGGGGTGGGGAAGTCTGCTCACACACAGCGCCGCCGAAGCTCGGCTCAGCTCCCCTCAGGCCCAGCCCGTAACCGCCTTGCCTTGCCTTCCCCCAACCACCGCCGCTCGCAGCCCTCGGTCGCGTAAGAAGTTCCCCCCCGTCACCCCCACCGTCTCTCTCGTACCTTCTTAGGGCGGAAGCAGCGATGCTGGAGCAAGGGGAAAAGACGAAAGTTCGCGGGCGCAGGATCAGGACCGAGCACAGCACGCGGGGTAGAGCGAGATGGCGGCCGGAAGGGAGGCACGCTGCGCTACCGCCGCCTGGGCCAGGAGAGGGCGGCCTCCG